GATTTTAGTTCTTTTATCTCTGCTGAAAGGGATTCTCTGGTGTCTTCTATGCTTTTTTCAACCCCAGCTAGTGTTCTTATAATCATGGTTTTAAGTTCTAGTTCAGACATCTTACTTACATCTGTGTTGATTAAATCCCTGGCTGTCATTTATTCCTATTCTTTCTTTTGGGGTGAATTCTTCCATCTTGTCATTTTGGAGGAAGAAAAAAATTAAATAAAAAATAAAAATGTAAAAATTAAAAACAAAACAAAATAAAAAAAAAGGAAGCTTGATCCTAGGTGTGTTTCAGTCTGCTTGTTGAAAGAAGCTTGATAGGGGCGCCTGGGTGGCGCAGTCGGTTAAGCATCCGACTTCAGCCAGGTCACGATCTCGCGGTCCGTGAGTTCGAGCCCCGCGTCGGGCTCTGGGCTGATGGCTCAGAGCCTGGAGCCTGTTTCCGATTCTGTGTCTCCCTCTCTCTCTGCCCCTCCCCCGTTCATGCTCTGTCTCTCTCTGTCCCAAAAATAAATAAACGTTGAAAAAAAAAATTAAAAAAAAAAAAAAAAAAGCTTGATAGAATAGAGGAAAAAAAAGTCTATGGCAAATCACAACACCTACCCAGTGCCAATTTGCCACACTCTAAAGTCTTTGTCCCAATACCAGCAGACGTGGCTTCTCTCTGGGGTCCACTGAGAACTTTGCCTGTGAGGAGGCCATATGGCCTCTACCACATGTACTCCAAGCAGGGGAACAGGTTCTCCCCACAAGACACAGGGAACCCTCAGACTGTGCTGCCCACTCCTGGGGTTTTGCCCTACTCTTATCACTGGAGCGCCACCAGTTAGTGAGCTCTGAACCTTCAGACTCTGCCCTCCACTGTTTATAGAATCCTGGTAGAACTGAAACCCTCTCCTTTCTACCCATCAATGGTTTTGGGGGACAGATTTCTTGTCAAGCGCCCTGTGAGTGTTTGCACTCTTTCTGTCCAGCTCCTTTCCAGGGGAAGTGCTCTTCTTGTGCAATCTCCACGTGCCATATTTTCCCTCTCTCTCTCTGTCCTGTCTCTGCCAAAATGGCTCCCTACCCTCCACAGAGCTTCAGAACTCACTCTCTCTCTCTCTCTCTCAAAAAATAAATGAACATTTTAAAAAAACTTATCAAAAAAAGATAAAGGACATTTCTGTCTCCCCAGAAATTTCTCGTGTTTCTCTATGCAGGCAGTTTCTCCTGTCTTCCCACCCCCCACCCCAGGGAACCACTGCTCTGATTTCTAGGTCAGATTTTTGGAATCGTATGAATGGAATCATTCAGATTCTTTTGAGTCCGGTTTCTCTTAGCATAATATCTGTGATATTCGTGTTGTATCATTCATATTTATTATCGAATAGCGCTGTACTGTATGATTATACCCCAATTTGTTGATCACTTCACCTGCAGTTGACCTCTGTGGGAGTCATAAGCTACTGTATCACAGCTAGAAGCAGAAGAAAACTGTTTAAAAAAAAAAACCCACAAAATTGTCAGAGCCTCTGAATCTTTTCAGAAGGCAGACTTCTAGAATAGGAAATATTTGCAGAAGACAGGTCTCTAGAATGGGAAATCACTAAAACGAACTTTTCACAGGCTCTTGATATGTTCTGTCAAATGGGTTCCCAGATGGTCTCCACCAGGGTACATTCCTACCCATGGTGTGTGAACGTCTCATTATACTATCTATAGCATTTGAAAACACATTTTTTTCATATTTATTTATTTTTGAGAGGGAGAGAGAGAGAGAGTGTGAGCGGGGAAGGGCCGAGAGAGGGAGACAGAATCCGAAGCAGACTCCAGGCTCTGAGCTGTCGGCACAGAGCCTGACGCGGGGCTTGAACTCACAAACTGGGACATCACGACCTGAGCTAAAGTTAGACGCTTCACCGACTGAGCCACCCAGGCGCCCCTCACAAAAATGCTTTGATAAAAAATAGTTCTTAGTTTTAATCTTTGGAAGCATAAAAAGCTATAAATTTGTATGTGATAGTTGAAAGGAATTGTACACTGACTATAAACCAGTAGGTCTATAAACCAGTACTTACTTCCTTTCTGAGCTGGCAGAACTATCAGTGACCTCACTTTTTTAACTACCTGCCTCACTGACTTTCTGCGAAACTAAGCTGAAAAGCCAATTCAGTCATTCCTGGCATCGGTATTTAAAATGGAACAGGGAGGGGCGCCCGGGTGGCTCAGTCGGTTGAGCGTCCGACTTCGGCTCAGGTCATGATCTCACGGTCCGTGAGTTCGAGCCCCGTGTCGGGCTCTGTGCTGGCAGCTCAGAGCCTGGAGCCTGCTTCGGATTCTGTGTCTCCCTTTCTCTCTGCCCCTCCCCGACTCATGCTCTGTCTCTCTGTCTCAGAAATAAATAAACATTAAAAAAAATTTTTTGAAAAAATAAAAAAAAATAAAAAATAATTTGGAACAGGGACAGGGAGGAGCTCTGATGTCTTCCTACGCCAGCATCCAGTGCTTCCTCTACAGCTGTGCCAACACAGCAGCCCCTGGCCACATGTAGTTGGCGAACACTTGATGTGTGGCTGGTCCAAACCGAGAAGTGGTCTAAGTATAAAATGCACACTGGGTTTCAGAGTCTTAGTATGGAAAAAAAAATGAATGTAAGATATTTCCTTAATTCTATATTGATTACATATTGCAATAATATATTTAATACATTGGGTTAAATAAAACATTAAAATTGATTCCTTTTGACATTCATTAATGTGGCTACTAGGAAATCTTAGATTGCACATGTGGCTTGCGTTTCATTTCTAGTCAACCATCTGCTGTATAGTCTTACAGAATGTCTCTCTCCTGTCTCTACCTCTTTTTTCCTTTGAATGCCTGCCTTTCACCAATACTTGCTTTGTTTTCTTCAGAGAAGCTTCCCTGAGCCATTTATTTATTTATTTATTTATTCATTCATTCATTCATTCATTCATTCATTCATTCATTTATTTTGAGGCTCTGCAGACTTTATATTTAGCTTAGAAGATCAAATTCCAAGATGGGACCTGGGCACAGATTTCCAATAAGGAGCCTAAGGTGGTGGATGGACCCTGGCATTCTGTTACCTGGGAACTAAACCTCTCTGAGGGCAGATCAGAAAGCCAGGAAGAAGAGGAGTGGGTGGGGGTGCCATCTAAACCCTTCAGCTCCCAAGAGGCTCCCTCCCCACCAATAGGCTCTACCCCCGCTTGCCTTTGTCACAAGAGATGGCTTTAGGTGGTAGACTGGCCCTTCCCTGACCTTTTCTGCTTCGTTCCTCTGCTTCATCTTCCTCTTTTATTCTGCCATGGGTCTGTCTAGTTTTTCCAGCCACCTCCATTGGCTTCATGTTTTGTATGGTTGTTTCTTGGACATGCCTCACCAGGATCTCCACCTTCTGTCTTCTTGGCTCTGCACCACTGCCCAGGAGAGCCCCACCCATCAGAGCAGGCCCAGCTCACCAAACCTGACCCTGGCCAACCTTGGTCTTCTGTTTGCCTGGAAGTGACAACTAGACTGGCCTCATTAGCCAGACCCACCTTTTACCAGGCGAAGATAGTAATGGATCCCCTGTTGGGGCCAGGAGATCCCTGACTCTGCTTGGTATTCCAGATGCCTGTGAACTGAATTTCTCTATCGCCTCCTATGGTATATATTCCGTCTACCCTTGGATTCTGTATACCTGGGCAGGTTCAGCTTTCTTTACTGTAAGTTCCTGCTGAATTGAGCTCATTCTGCAAATCTGATTAAATCTCAAACCAGGGCTTTGGAAATTATAGTACAATAGCCCCCTTGCCAGCTGGCTGGCACATAATTTGTTGCTTTGCCTAAGTGGCTCTAAATCAGGAGACTGAAGTTTCTGCCTTTGATGGTAAGCAGTAGAAATGTCTGTGGGGCTATTATGGGGCAGGCTGAGGGGAGAGATCATTGGTTTTGTGGGAATCGCAGGCTCAGAAGAGGCTAGAGCCATGAGTAAAACTGGACCCTCATTGCAGATGGATGCAGATTAGGTTTGAACAGATGAGAGGTAACACCCATCTCAAGCTGCCTTCGGCAGGAGTGGTGGCCGGCAAAATACAGCATCGTGAAGTGGGCAGTTCTCTTTCCAGTTCTCTCAGATTTAGGATTATCACCAAAGGGGGAAAAAAAAGGCTCAGTTTGTCCTACTGTGTCTTTAATGGCCTCAAATGTTTCTAAGAGCACACAGGCCTCAGGCCTCAGACTTCAGATCTCCCCAGGCAGCACCGTTGAGCTGGAATCCAACAGCATGGTTTTATTTCCGATGGATTTATTTTTGTGTAACTTTCTATTTATCGAAAGTGTTAGTTTTCACTTACAATGGCAGTACAAAATTTCCTTTAAAATGAATCTGTTATGGAAACTAATTTGACAATAAATTTCATATAATAAAAATAAAATAAAATAAAATAAAATGAATCTGAATGTTGGGGCTCCTGGGTGGCTTAGTGTTCTCAGCTCAGGTCTCGATCTCAGAGTCATGAGAACAAGCCCCGCGTTGGGCTCTGTGCGGGGTGGAAAGCCTACTTAAAAAATAAAAAAAAATTAATCTGGGTTTCGAAATAGTTTATTTATGGGGATTAAGGAGTGCACTTGCTGTGATAAGCGCTGGGTGACAGGTGATGTATGGAAGTGCTGAATCAATCTATTCTATTCTACCCCTGAAACTACTATTACACTGTGTAGTAACTATACTAGAAGTGAAACAAAAAATAGAATAAAACAGTCAATTTAAAGCACAAAGTGAAGCAAATAAAGTACAGGTAGGACTCAATTATGGCCAAAAAAAAAAAAAAAAAAAAATGGTGAGTGTGTTGTCTGAATGACATGTAGAAAACATTGCCCTGAGGAAGACCCTCCAGGTGGTACCCAGCATCCTTGAGTTCTGGGTTCGAAACTATCTAGTTGTCAATTTCATTTGTTTGTTCGCCATTCATTGCAATAGTATTTTCAAGGAAAACTTTTTTTTTTTTATTTTGCAGGTTCCAGAAAGAAGTTGGAAATCGAAGATTTAAGGAGAGAATGTTGTTCTAAAATATTCTGACTTACTTCAAAGACTAAGGCCAGAAACTTAAAAAGGTATCGTTAACCCCTAATTTAAATTTAATATTAGCACCTGGTGTCCCTTCAGGGAACCAGTTTTCCAAAGCTGTGGATCCTAAAATGGGGCATACAGTTGACCTCAGCGGAAAAGGCTGCATTAACATCTGAGAGGTGAGCGTGTTACTAGCACAACAGTAACTAACCAATCATTTCCATCCCTGAAAGGTTTTGTTTTGGGTTTTTTTGGTAAAGATGTCTTGGCCTCCTGCTGCTTAGAATGTTCAAGTGTAGTCTGTCTTGCTCAGTCACTCAGGTTATAAAAGGAAAGTTATTGCGTGGGGTCCCATTGGGAAATCTCTGGAAGGCTTGCAATGTTGAGCAAATTGATAAGTAAAATAAGGAAAACTGGAAGTGTGTCAAAGACCAGGAGCCTCATGTGTGACTTGGGGGAAAAAGCTGAGAACCGCTGGACTTGAATGTTAACGGACGTGGGCTCGTAAAACATGAATGATGCTGTGTTTACATGTCTGTCATTTGTGGCTGTGGCGGGGGGGAGGGCGGGCAGGGCACAACAAAAAGTTTAAAAACTGTCTGAAATCTGTGTGTTTTCCTACCTAGATGAGGGACTGAGTGGCCAGGTCGGGGCCTTTCTGCTTCTAAGATGATGACCCATTTTATATACACAAGGATGAGTGGAGCAGTGGCCACAGGATCTTAGGGAACAAGAAAGATAATCAGCGCAATTTGGGATAGCTCAAATTATGTTTTAAAGTTAGGTTTTTAAATTTTTTTTGAAGGTTTATTTATCTCATCTAGCTCAGGTGAACCCAAGTTAGTTTTTTTTTTTTATTTTTTTATTTTTTATTTATTTTATTTATTGAAAAAAAATTTTTTTAATGTTTTATTTATTTTTGAGACAGAGAGAGACAGAGCATGAACGGGGGAGGGTCAGAGAGAGAGGGAGACACAGAATCTGAAGCAGGCTCCAGGCTCTGAGCTGTCAGCACAGAGCCCAACACGGGGCTCGAACCCACGGACCGTGTGATCATGACCTGAGCCGAAGTCGGATGCTTAACCGACTGAGCCACCCAGGCGCCCCAGTTTTGTTTTGTTTTGTTTTGTTTTTTTTAATTTTTAATGTTTGTTTATCTTTCTTTTGAGAGAGAGCATGTGCAGGGTAGGGGCAGAGAGAGAGGGAAACAAAATCCCAAGCAGGCTCCACACTGTCAGCACAGAGCCCAACACGGGGCTCAAACCCACAAACCGTGAGATCATGACCTGAGCCAAAGTCGGACGCTCAACTGACTGAGCCACCCAGGTGCCCCCCAAGTTAGTTTTTAATACCCACATAAAATGGCTTGGGTCCCTATTTCTACCCAGACAGAAGGTTCAGCAGGTGCACAAGGGTTTCAAGGGTTTCCAGGGAGATGGCCTTTCCTGGTCAGCTGCCACTTGAAGTCCATGTCACCTTCCTTCTTGCCCTCCCCCTGCCCCATTTCATTCCACACATGGCCATTGCTCCTCCTTCATTGCCTGAGGTGCTTGTATATGGCAGACTTTGCTGGAGGTATGAGGATAGCTAGAGCAGGGATGCAGGAGGACTACGGCACAACCCAGAATGGGCAGTAATGACCGAGACGTCACTGTGCCCAGGTTCCTGGAGGCTTCGCTACCACAGGAGACTTCATGCTGCCTGTCTCCCTCCTCAGGCCATTTTGCGCTCAGACCCTGCCCCCCACAACAACCCCTCCCACCCCGTGGCTCCTTTGCTCCCAATTCTGGGTGCTCCCCTCTTGGGGTATGTGGAAACCTCCAGTCCCGGTTAACCTTTTTATGGAAAATAATATATCTTTCCATCCCTATTCCAGGCTAGGATTGAAGCACACTTTTGTTTTATTCAAAAGGAAATAAACAAGCTTTGCTGTATATTTGCTATATATTTCCGGTCACCCTCTCTAGGCATGTAACCCACAAGCAGAAGCCATTCCATTAAGATTTTTTTCTTTAATACATCTCGGATCACCATCTTAAGCAGGACTCCTCCTGCTTGAAGTAGAGAAATCCCAGGACCAAAGGGCAGGGAGGGATCTTTCCCATGGCTTTGGTTTCACTGGTGACTTCGTTGGTCTCTTCAGGGGCATCACGGAGAGAGAGGCGGGCGCCCTGGATCCTGATTGCCCTTCTGCCAGGCAGATACGTGTAGCCAAAGATGAATTTGGGCAAAGTAGCTGCTTGCTCCTTGAGCCATGGAAAAGCAGGGCCACGGTGAGATGGGAATCATTCCATCAGAGTCTCACTCCCATGTTAAGTTGTTGAAAATCAACCGGGAACTTCTGGTCACTCACATCCGCAACACCCAGTGTCTGGTGGACAACTTGCTGAAGAATGACTACTTCTCCTCTGAAGACGCGGAGATCGTCTGTGCCTGCCCCACACAGCCTGACAAGGTGCGGGTGACAGGGGCTGGTAGCCAGAAGGGGCTTCTCCCGCTGATCTGAGTGAGGACCTCTGGGAGTTTAGTACATTGGCGGAATTTCCCACTGGGGTCGTTGATAAAACAGAAACGCTGGGGTTATCAGCTGATTACACAATTGCACGTTTTGCTTTTTGTGTGCGCATTGAGAGCAGACTCCTCTTACGTCTCTGCTCTCCTCGCTCTGTGTACTGCTTCCCAAACTGGTTGGTTTCAATCCACTTTCGAGTAGGAGGAGAGAAAAAGAAAATGACCACCTCATCCCTTAGCAGTGATGCTCATTCAGTGCCTTTAGACTCCAGAGAGCTGCTCACCGCTGGGTAAGGCTCTGAGAATGGCCTTACCTCTGATTTGGGAACAACTGTGTCCCAGGCTGGGTCCACAGTAAAGACTTTTCCATACGCCACTGGAGGAGGTCTTAACAGCCCTTAGTTTCATTTTAGCTTTGTGTCATCTCCTGAAAAAGAGAATTGCAAGACTGAACACTCTTTGGGTCAAGGAGTGACAGAACTTGTTTGTCACGTGATCCTGCCAGGCTCTGAGGAGACAGAGGGTTTCTGGGGGAAGCACAGTAACTGACTTACGTGATTTTTTCGTGCATTTTGAATAATACAAAAAGCCTTTTTTAGGGTGTAACTTCTATGGGGGTCTGTTAGCCCCTTGCTCTGTGGCCCAGCACCCACCTCATTATGCCCAAGAGGTAACTTTCTCCCTGCAACACTCACTCCTGGCTGGCAATAGTGTTAGGTGAAGAGGGACAAGGAGACACAGGAAGAATCCTGGGGGTGGGCACACCTCTTGGGCCAGTCTGACCTTTTTACTTTTGGGTTCATGGAAGCCTCCTGGTTTCTTAGAGCTGTGTGGTCTAATTTCTTACTAAGGTTCGCAAAATTCTGGACCTGGTACAGAGCAAGGGCGAGGAAGTGTCCGAGTTCTTCCTCTACGTGCTCCAGCAACTTGCAGATGCTTACGTGGATCTCAGGCCTTGGCTGTTGGAGACTGGCTTCTCCCCCTCCGAGCTCATTCGGAGCAGAGTTGTCATCAACACTGACCCAGGTATGAGTCCTCCCCAGGGGGACTGCAGACACTAAGCAAGCAAGGCCCTGGGGTTTGGAAATGCTGCGGTGTGTGGGCCCAGCAGCGCATGAAAGCGTGGTCCACCACGGTCAGCCCTGGCCTCTACATCAGGCAGTAGGCCCAGTGTTGTGTTCCCTGTTGTCCAAGGGCAGCCTGGGGACTGTGACTGAACCGAGCACACGTAGCTGGTCTGATCTGTATAGAGGCCTGTGCAATTGTGGGAACGGCCTCTCTCGTGACCTCTTGGTTACTTACTGTTCTGACATATATAGACAGTTTAATGGTTGCACAAATTCAAGAATGAATTTTTTTCCTCTTTAAAATCTTTCCAAAGATCTCCTCTTTAGTTAGTTAGGTTTATTCCTGGGTATCTTATTGTTTGGGGGTACAATTAATGGCAAATGGGATTGATTCCTTGATTTTTTTTTCCTGCTGCTTCGCTATTGGTGTATAGAAACGCAACAGATTTCTGCATGTTGGTTTTTTTTTATTATTATTTAAAAAAAAATTTTTTTTAACGTTTATTTTTGAGACAGGGAGAGACAGAGCATGAACGGGGGAGGGTCAGAGAGAGGGAGACACAGAATCTGAAACAGGCTCCAGGCTCTGAGCTGTCAGCACAGAGCCCGACGCGGGGCTCGAACTCACGGACCGCGAGATCATGACCTGAGCCGAAGTTGGCCGCTCAACCGACTGAGCCACCCAGGCGCCCCCATGTTGGTTTTTATATTCTGTGACTTTGCTGAATTCATGTATTCTAGCAATTTTTTTGGTGAGTCTTTCATGTTTGCTACATAGAGTTTCATGTTGCCTGCAAATAGTGAAAGTCTGACTTCTTCCTTGCCAATTTGGATGCCTTTTATTTCTTTTTGTTGTCTGATTGCTGAGGCTAAAACTTTCAGTACTATGTTAAATAGTAAGGGTGAGAGTGGACATCCTTGTCTCAATCCTAACTGTAAGGGAAAGGCTCTCAGTTTTTCCCCATTGAGGATGGTATTAGCAATGGGTCTTTCATATATGACCTTTACGTTTGGGGTACAATTAATGGCAACAATTAATGTTGAGGTATGTTCCATCCGTCCCTACTTTGTTGAGGGTTTTTATCAAGAATGGATGCTGTATTTTGTCAAATACTTCTTCTGCATCTACTGAGAGGATCGTATGGTTCTTATCCTTTCTTTTATTAATGTGGTGTATCACGTTGATTGATTTGTGAATATTGAACCAGCCCTGCATCCCAGGAATAAATCCCACTTGATCATGGTGAATAATTCTTTTTTTTTTTTTCTTAAAGTTTATTTGAGAGAGAGAGAGAGAGAGAGCACACAAGCAGGGGACGGGCAGAGAGAGATGAAGAAGGAGAGAGAGAATCCCAAGCAGGCTCCACACTGTCAGCGCAGAACCTGATGCGGGGCTCAAACTCATAAACTGTGAGATCATGACCTGAGCTGAAATCAAGAGTCAGACCCTTAACCGACTGAGCCACCCAGGTGCCCCAGTGAATAATTCTTTTAATGTATTGTCAAATTCAATTTGCTAGTATCTTGTCGAGAATTTTTGCATCCATGTTCATCAGGGATATGGGCCTATACTTCTCCTTTTTACTGGGGTCTTTGTCTAATTTTGGAATCAAGGCAATTCTGGCTTTGGAGAATGAGTTTGGAAGTTTTCCTTCTATTTCTATTTTTTTTGGAACAGTTCGAGAAGAATAGGTATTAACTCGTCTTCACATGGTCTGTAGGAAGACATCTGGCCCAGGATTCTTATTCATTGGGGGATTTATTCTAGGGAAATTATTCTTCTATCACCTCTAGTTGCCAATCCTTATTTCCAAAGCACAGTGGTACTGCATTAGCTAATCCATTAGTCCAACAGGTATTAATGATGTACCCACTATAGGCAAAGGCATTGTGTTGGTGCCACGGGTTCCGTGTGGAGCAGATCAGACGTGGTTCTTGTTTTCAGGGAGCTCGGAGGCCAGTGAAGGAGCCCCGACGGTAATCACAAAAATGTGTATTTGCGCATGGTGATAAGGACAAGAGCAGTTCAAGCTGCAGTGAGCCCACATAATCGGGGCCATGATCTGGTCTGGGAACCAGGGAGTCTTCTCTCCATGCCTGTGCTCTCTCTAGTTTGAGACACTTGTTGAAAATATCCTCACACCAGGGTCGCAGACTCTGATGTTTAAAGAACCTAGTTTGACCTTGAACACACACAAAAAAGGACAAAGTCCCAGATAATCAGGTGTGTGTTTAGGGGAAACCAGGCCAACCAGCAATGTCAGGGCCAAGCTCTGGCAGATACCTGTGGCCATTGTTACCACTTAATGCTCCTTCCTGCTTCATTCTGTTTCCTTCCACAGGAGAAAAGAAAAATGTTCCTGCCTGTGAGGAATAATTCTTTCAAAAGATGTCTCCACTGGTTCCTTTAACCAGCTACTTTGGTATTGCTTTTAAAGTATGAGTCACTCTGCAAAGCCAGACATGAAAGACGATATATTGCGTGATTCTGTTTATACGAAATGTCCAGATAAGGCAAACTAATAGAGACAGAAAGAAGACTGGTAGTTGCCTAGGGCCAGGGGCAGAGATTGGCTAGAAGTGGGCTTATGATGGAGATGTTTTAGAACTGGATTGTGGCGGTGTTTGCATAACTTTGCAAATTGAGTAAAAAATCCTTGAGTAGTATACAATGCCTATTGTAAAATATGTGAGTTTATAGTATGTAAGTTATGCCTTACGAAAGCTATAAAAAACATAATTCACAAATTTTAAGCAGGCAGCCAAGTTGGTCTAAGTTGATGGGAAAAAGTTATAGATGAATTTGGAAATGGGCATGTATGTCTCATTTTTGTACCTGAATTATAATTAAAATCCCAAAGTATTTTTAAAGTTTATTTATTTTGAGAGAAAGAGCTCTCCTGCATGAGTGGGGGAGGGGCAGAGAAAGAATCCCAAGCAGGCTCTGTGCCGCCAGCGTGGGGCCCAGTGCGGGGCTTGAACTCACGAACCGGGAGATCTTGACCTGAGCCCAACTGGGAAGCTTAACCCACTAACCACCTAGCCCCCCACCCACCAAAGTATCTGCAAGGCATTTATCGAACAGCCTCTTGTCTGGGGAAGGACCACCTCCCTCTCTGTGTAAGGTCCATCTCTAGCTCAGGTTTGCTTAAGTCCACGCCCATAAGAGCATGTTACTGCCAGCTCCCCTGTGGGCAGGCACTAAGTCAGTGACCCTCAGGTTGAATAAGGCTAGTTTTCATCTCAGTTTACTCCGTTTTGGCGATTTGGCACAGCTCATTTATAATCGGGATTAATGTCAAATGTATTTTCTCACCAAAAGTGTTGGCATGTAGTTTTGTAAGACTACCGGTTGTTTTCAGAGCAGAGTGATAAGCAAAAGAATGGTCAAGGCAATCTCTGCCTCAACAATAGGAGTTTCAGGGGATGCCTGGCTGGCCCAGTCAAGGGGGACATATGGCTCTTGATCTCGGGGTTATGAGTTCGAGACTCATGTTGGGTGTAGAGATTACTTAGAGTTTCAATGGAACTGGCTGTCTTACCCACCCCCCGGCCCCCCCCCCCCCCCCCCAGTGAGCAGGTACACCCAGAAGCTGCGACAGCAACTGGGCCTCGACTCCAAGTTCATCCTGTGCTATGCCCAGAAGGAGGAGTTGTTGCTGGAGGAGATGTACACGGACACCATCGTGGAGCTGGTGGGCTTCAGGAACGAGAGCCTGGGCCTGCTGGGCAGCCTGGCCTGCCTGCTGGACCACTCCACCGGCGTCCTCAGCGAGCAGGGCGAGACCATCTTCATCTTCGGGGACGCCGGCGTGGGCAAGTCCATGCTGCTTCAGCGGCTGCAGGGCCTGTGGGCCGCGGGGCTGCTGGACGCGGAGTTCAAGTTCTTCTTCCACTTCCGCTGCCGCGTGTTCAGCTGCTTCAAGGAGGACGACGCGCTGTGCCTGCAGGACCTGCTCTTTAAGCATTACTGCTACCCGGAGCAGGACCCGGATGAGGTGTTCGCCTTCCTGCTGCGCTTCCCCCACACGGCCCTCTTCACCTTCGACGGCCTGGACGAGCTGCACTCGGACTTCGACCTGAGCAGCGTGCCTGACACCTCCTCCCCCTGGGAGCCCGCCCACCCCCTGGCCCTGCTGGCCAACCTGCTCAGCGGGAAGCTGCTCAAGGGCGCCGCCAAGCTGCTCACGGCCCGCACGGGCATCGAGATCCCGCGCCAGCTCCTCCGCAAGAAGGTGTTTCTGCGGGGCTTCTCGCCCAGCCACCTGCGGGCCTACACCCAGAGGGTGTTCCCCGAGCCCGCCGTGCGGGACCGCCTGCTGGCCCACCTGGAGGCCAACCCCAACCTCTGCAGCCTGTGCGCCGTGCCCCTCTTCTGCTGGATCGTCTTCCGCTGTTTCCAGCACTTCCACAGTGTTGCGGACATCTCCACGCAGCTGCCTGACTGCACGGTGACCCTGACCGACGTCTTCCTGCTGATCACCGAGGTCCACCTGAACAGGACGCAGCCCACCAGCCTGGTCCAGCGGAACACGCGCAGCCGGACGGAGACCTTCCGCGCCGGTGGCGCCGCCTTGCGCTTGCTGGGGCGGGTGGCCCACCAGGGCATGGAGAAGAACCTCTTTGTCTTTGGCCAGGAGGATGTGCGGGCCGCCGAGGTGCAGGACGGAGAGCTGCAGCTGGGCTTCCTGCGGGCCGTGCCAGAGCAGGGCCTCGGGGGTGACCAGCAGGCCTATGAGTTTTTCCACGTCACCCTCCAGGCCTTCTTTACCGCCTTCTTTCTCGTGGCGGACGACAAGGTAGGCACGCAGCAGCTGCTCAGGTTCTTCCGGGAGTGTGGGCTTCCTGGAGAGGCGGCCGTGGAGTCCTGCTACCCCTCCTTTCTCCCTGTGCGGTGTCTGAGGGGCCCCGGCCTGGCCGGGGAGGACCTCTTCAAGAACAAGGATCACTTCCAGTTCACCAACCTCTTCCTGTGCGGGCTGTTGTCCAAGGCCAAGCAGAAACTCCTGCGGCACCTGGTGCCCGCGGCGGTCCTGCGGAGAAAGCGCAAGGCCCTGTGGGCGCACCTGTTTGCCAGCCTGCGGGCCCACCTGAAGAGCCTGCCCCGGCTCCAGTACGAGGGCTACAACCAGGTGCAGGCCATGCCCACCTTCATCTGGATGCTGCGCTGCATCTACGAGACGCAGAGCGAGAAGGTGGGGCGGCTGGCGGCCAAGGGCATCTGTGCGAACTACCTCAAGCTGACCTACTGCAATGCCTGCTCGGCCGACTGCAGCGCCCTCTCGTTCGTCCTGCACCACCTCCGCAAGCGGCTCGCCCTGGACCTGGACAACAACAACCTCAACGACTACGGCGTGCGGGAGCTGCAGCCCTGCTTCAGCCGCCTCACGGTCATCAGGTGAGGCCGCCAGGCACAGGGAGCAGCCGGGGGGGGGGGGGGGGGGGGGGGGGGGGGGGGCGGGGGCGGGCCGAGCTCGGGGAAACACCAGGAGGAGCCTCCTGGGGTAGCAGCTCCTGAATTACCCTGGCACTCGTGACCCCTGGTGTTGGGGGCACCCGAGCCTATTCTATCTCACAGTGACAGACAGCTGGGAGAGAAGCCTCCGCAGCGGGCAGAACTGGGTCGGCCCCGGCTAGGCATTGAGTGAGTTGCTTAACCTCTCTGAGCCCTCATCTGGAAGAAGGAGACGCTGGTATCCTAGCAATTACAGTAATAACAACTGGCGTTTATTGAGAAAGGGTGAAGTGCATTGCAAACTTTATCTGATTTAATCCTCTTAGCAACCCTCTAAGGTGGTAGGGATTCTTACCTTCATTTTGGCAAACGAGGGTGTGGAGGCACAGAGATGTTCTCAAGGTCACACAGCAGGGCCATGGTAGAGGCAAAATCCTAAAGAATGAATCTTTTGAGATTCATGGGAGGCTCAAAGATAGCCAGTGAGGGGTTTCTGGCACGTGGGTGCTTTTGGGATTGCATAAAAAGCAGACTGTGTGCTCACTGGCCTCTGTTACTTTCCACGATCAAAGCCAGCTGCCCTGAGCTGCCAGGGATCTTAGTACAGAATGCTCACTTTCGAGTGGTTTCCTGTTTGATGGTTTAGAGGAAGGAGGCCAGTCTGCTTTCTCCTGTTAGCATTTCCTGTATAAAAGACAGCCTGTAAATCTCTCTGACGGTATCAGTTCTCCATAACTTGGCTCATGCATTTCTGATGGGGAGAGGGGATTTGGAACTGGTTCTGGGTACCTGTTACACCAATGCTAGAGTGTACTTTATGTGGGGGCAGTGAGATGCAAGGAGCCCAGGTCTGTGCTCTCCACCTGGGGCACTCTCACACACTGTGGCCTCCCTGTGCTCATCTCCTAAGATGGAGTGCTCCAAGGTGGTGCTCCTTCCCCAAGTAGCTATCTTTGGAGCCCAGGCTGTCTTCAGCCTTACAGTGGCCTTGCTGCCCTACCTGATTTCCACCTCTTGGCCCAATATGGCTGCTTAGTTCCAGCCATTCTTTTGATGTTCCAGCCTCCAGGAAGAAGAAGGGGCAAGCAAAGAAGGACATACCTCATTCTTTTGAGAACTTGTCAGCTATGGCTAATGAGACTTCTGCTTACATTTCATAGGGGCAAACTTAATCATGCGCCCAGTTCAAAAAATGGGGGATCCTATTTCTAAGAAAGCACAGATATTGGAAGTGACTAGCAGCCTCTGCCACCCTGGGATGGCCACGCAGTGTGTGTACACAGTGTGCCCCAGCACCAAGGTGGGCCCCAGCACCATGGGAGGAGGGGCCCTGAGTAGCTGACCTGATCATTTTGACGTGGCCTAAAAATCAAACGTGTTCAGCCTTTCATGTTAGAGAGGTTAGCTTGCTGGCACAGTTTGTTCCAGGGTTTGTGTTTGTAAATAAAGTTTTATTGGAACATAGCCACACCCATATGTTTACATATCAGCTGCTTCACACTATAAAAACATTTTTTTTTTTTTACTGTTTATTCAGTTTTGAGAGAGCGCGCGAGCAGAAGTGGGGGAGGGGCAGAGAGAGAGGGAGACACAGAATCGGAAGCAGGCTCCAGGCTCTGAGCTGTCAGCACAGAGCCCCATGCGGGGCTCGAACTCACAAACCATGGGTTCATGACCTGAGCTGAAGTCGGGTGCTTAACTGACTGAGCCACCCAGGCGCCCGACAGTTGCTTCATACTATGGAGCCAAATAATTGCAATAGAGACCACATGGTCCTCAGAGCCTCACATATTTGCTCTGTGGCCTTTTACAGAAAAAGTTTGCTGACCCTTGGATTACTGTCTCACCCACCCCTGCTCCCTCACTCTCCTCCGTCCCTGAGCCTCCCTCTGTCCCTCAGCCTCATGTAAATGATGGGGTGAAGGATTGAGAAAATCAGGGTAGTTTGTTACACAGATTACTTGGTAGTAAAAAAAAAAAAAAAATCACATATTAGCTACATCAAAATATCCTGTTAGTACAGGGACTGTGCAGAACAGTTCCCGTGAATGGCCGGCCCTTGTGCAGGAGAGATCCATCATCCCGAGGGCTCTCTTTTCCTGCCCCCATCTGTAAATGTGACCTCCAGATGGGGAGGCTGTTGGCGCTGCGGGTGAGACAGTTCTCGTGGGGACTCTCCAGCCTTTCGCAGGACACCTGATAGCTCTGGCCCCCCCTTGCCAGGTGGCAGGGCCTTCCCTCCCCGAGCCTTGCCGTCACTACAAGCCGCTTCACACGTTTCCAAATCCACAGCCCCTGCTGTGTTGTGAGAGCCACAGAGAAGGCCTGACTGACATGTAGGCCACCCGCAAATGCAGGCTGTCAGAGGTGACCGGCCTCACATGTCCTTTATGTGTCTCTCGTAGCCCTCATGTCGAGTCAGGGCTCTGCTGTAGTCTTGCTGACAGGCCAGTTCCACGTGGGTCTGTTGGCCCCACGACGCCCAGATCCTTTAGGAGCTCTGTGGCTGACTGCCATGGCCACTGTCTCAGGGGAGCGTTTATAGCTGGGAAAACTCCAGGACCTACAGGCTTCTGGATCTTGTGGCCTTCATACTCCTCCATAGTGAGCAGCTGCCGTGATTCAACTTCCTTTGCTGTTTTGTTTCAGACTCAGCGTAAACCAGATCACTGACAGTGGGGTAAAGGTGTTAAGTGAAGAGCTGACCAAATACAAAATTCTGACGTTTTTAGGGTACGTATTCCTCAACAGCACCAGATCAGTTGTGTAGTAATAATACAGAGGAGCAGGAAACTGCCATTCGTGCGAGTCACTGGAGGGTTGGAATGACTGCCGAGCCACCAGAAAGAGCCCTGGACAGGGGGCCAGGAGTCTTGGGTTCTGCTCTTGGCTCGGCCAGCAGCCCACTCTTTGAGCAAACCCAGAAGTGTCTTTCACTTGTCTCTTGAGATCCTAATCCAGGCCAGTATTTTACAAGCGGTGACTGGGGGTTGCTGAGGGAGTGGCTAGGGCTGCCTTTTATAAATGCCAGATGCTGTTTACGTATTAGATTGTGGATCCACAGTCCCTTATCCAGAGCCCTGAGCGAAAGACACAAATCCGGAGTCAGTGTATGTGCCGTGTAAAAGTGATATGGCCAGTGAGGTCGAGGGCATTACCCGGGTTTCAAGTAATTGAATCTACCTGCAGCAAAACGTATGAATATTCAGAGCAGTTGGGATAAAGCCCACAAAAGGCTCCACATCAGTCGCCAAACTGCTGAGCACTTGAAACCTGTCTGTTTACCACTTTCCGCTTTTTTCTGCCTTCTTGTTGAATTGGTACGAGGCGGTAAAATGACTAACAGGGAGACAGGAGCTTCCAACACTCACTGTCCCTCAAGCTGCTGCTTGTGACCTTAATCGAAAAATACCCATCACTTGCTGCTTGACTGGTCGCACATAATCATCCTAATGACCCCGTGGGGGCACGGTGATTCTTCCTCCTCATCGCAGAGGCAGAAGCAGAGGCTGGGAAAGTGGCGGAGCTGGCTCTGCACCCGGCCTTCGAGACCCCCGAGCCCCAAACTGCTCTCTGTGTGCCCCTCCTCTCTCCTTTCAGCCCAGACTTCAGGTATTGGCAGCCAGCACATACCCACTTAAAAATGTCCCGTGGGGACGCGAGAATAAAAGGGACAGACAGCACAAGGAACATGATGATACTGTGAGAGCATCGTCTGGTGACCGACGGTGGCCACGCTTGTAGTGAACATAGCATAACTCGTAGACCTGTGGATTCACTATGTTGTACACCTGAAAGTAATGCAACACTGTGTCAACTGTACCAAGAAAAAAAAAACCCCAAAAAAGCCGACGCCGGGGGTCCCAAAGTCTCACGCTGTGCTCTCTCTCCAAGCCTGTATAACAACCAGATCACCGATGTCGGAGCCCGGTACATCGCCAGAATCCTGGACGAGTGCAAGGGCCTCACGCACTTGAAGTGAGTGGGCTGGGTGTGGCGGCTTATTCGGGAGCCCCTGTGGGTCACCCCTTCATCATTCAGACACAGAATATAAGTCACCAGAAGGTGCACTCGCCCTAAAGCCTTCCGCTTGCCCCAGGCCAAGTGGGTCAAATTGAGAGACCTGTGTGTGGGAAGGAGAGCTGACCGCGGGGTGGGGGGGGTGGGGGGGGGCGGGGCGGAAATCGTGCCCTGAGGGTGAGGCAGGGCCACCTACCTTGGGGGGAAATCTTGGCAAGGGAGCTGTGTGGGGCCTCTTCTAATAAATCACTGATCCCATTCGTGACGGCTCCACCCTCACGACCGAATCACCTCCAAGGGCCTTGCCTCCTAATCCCATCACCTTAGGGGTTAGGATTTGAGAATATGGATTTGGGGTGGGGGGGGAACACAGCCATTCAGACCTAGCACCCACCTGGTTGCAAGCAGGGGCTTGATCCTCGGTCCCGTCACAGAAATGCTCTGCCAAAGGTGACGGAGCGCCAGGCCCGGAGGAGCCCCTGGAACGGCACTGGGGCCGGGAACACACACAGGCTGGCCACTTGCACTTGAACGGGGCGCCTCCCTGGCCTGCTGATGGAAATGAGTGACGTTTAAAGGCGGTTATTTACGGGTCCCTAAGTTTCGGCAGAGACCGCGACCACCTCCTGGAGAGGAATCTGGCGGCTCTCCTTAGGGCTTTGGGTCCTTCCTCGAGAGGAAGCCCAGGGCATGGGTGCCGCGGGTCCCAGGGCAAAGCCCACACCTCCCAAGAGGGGCCCCGCGCTGGGGACGAGGGTGCCGACGGCGGAGTCCCCTCACAGCTGGGAGCTGACGTGCGCACGGCTCTCTCTGCAGACTGGGGGAGAACAAAATAACGAGTGAAGGAGGAAAGTGTCTCGCCCTGGCTGTGAAGAAGAGCAAGTCCATCTTTGAAGTTGGGTGAGTAGAGGCAGAGGCGCCTGAGCCTGTCCTGGGCGCGAGAGCGCCGGCTGTGGGGAGGCCGCAGAGGGCATCCTCCCTGGCGCCCTCTGGCTTCTGCATGGGGACCGGGAACCGTTTGGGGAAGTCAGTTGTGCAGACTTTTATTTCATTGCTGCACAAGTCCGTGATGGCCACCAGCAAACGGAGGGGGTGCCGTTCTAGCCCGAGGTGGTAAGCTTCTGCGGGCCGATGTTCTTCATCTTGGGAAGGCGTTTTAAGAAGATTTATGATTTTAGGGGCGCCTGGGTGGCGCAGTCGGTTAAGCGTCTGACTTCAGCCAGGTCACGATCTCGCGGTCCGGGAGTTTGAGCCCCGCGTCACCCTCTGGGCTGATGGCTCAGAGCCTGGAGCCTGTTTCCGATTCTGTGTCTCCCTCTCTCTCTGCCCCTCCCCCGTTCATGCTCTGTCTCTCTCTGTCCCAAAAATAAATAAACGTTGAAAAAAAAAATTAAAAAAAAAAAAAAAAGAAGATTTATGATTTTAGAGAGAGCGAGTGAGCATGTGTGGGAGTGGAGGAGGGGCAGAGAGGGAGGAGGACAGAGGATCCCAGGCAGGCTCTGTGCGGACGGCAGGGAGCCCGATGTGGGGCTTGAACTCATGAACCGTGAGATCATGACCCGAGCTGAAGTCTGACGCTTAAGCGACTGAGACACCCAGGTGCCCCCAGGGGCTTGTTGTGTTTTGTTTTGTTTATTGCATAGTCGTGCGGCCATCACCCCCATCCATCTCCAGAACCCTTTCCATCTTGCAAAAAAGCGACTCTCTACCCGTTAGACGATAATTCCCCCTTCTCCCTTCCTCCCAGCCCCTGGCCACCACCCTTCTGCTACCTGTCCCTGTGAATTTGACTGCCGTGAGTACGTCACCTAAGTGGAGTCATACAGCATGTGTCGCTTTGTCACTGGCTTCCTTCACTCAGCCCAGGGTCCTCGAGGTTCATCTGTGTTGTAGCATGTGTTGGAATTTCCTTCCTTTTTAAGGCTGAGTAGCGGTTCATTGGATATATCTTGTCCATTCATCTGGGCACTTGGGTGGCTTCCACATTTTAGCGACCGTGAACAGTGCTGCTATGAACGTGGGCGTTCAAATGTCTCATCGATTTCTGGGGGCTGTGTCCCCAGAAGTGGAATTTTTGGATCGGCTGGTCATTCTAAGATAGTTTTTTTTAATGTTTATTTTTAAGATAGGGAGTGCGTGAGCACAAGTGGGGGAGGGGCAGAGAGAGAGGGAGACACAGAATCAGAAGCAGGCTCTAGGCTCTGAGCTGTCAGCACAGAGCCCGACGCGGGGCTCGAACTCAGGGACTGTGAGATCATGACCTGAGCCGAAGTCGGACGCTTAACCGACTGAGCCACCCAGGCACCCCTGGTCATTCTATTTTAAAATAATTTTTTTTATTGTTTATTTTTAAGATAGGGAGTGCGTGAGCACAAGTTGGGGAGGGGCAGAGAGAGAGGGAGACACAGAATCGGAAACAGGCTCCAGGCTCTGAGCTGTCAGCACAGAGCCCGACGCGGGGCTCGAACTCACGGACCATGGGATCATGACCTGAGCTGAAGCTGGATGCTTAACTGACTGAGCCACCCAGGAGCCCCTGGTGATTCTGTCTTTAATTTTGTGAGGGCCCACCACACTGTTTCCCACCAGCAGTGCATCCAGGTTTTCCGTGCCCTCCCCTCCCCATCGCTTGTCATTTTCTGCTCTTTTTGATGGTAACCACCCTAACAGGGACGAGGTGGTATCTCATTATGGTTTGGACTCCAGAGGCTTTTTAAAAAAGCTTTTTATAGCGTTATAATTTTTACCTGATTACAAAAGAAACACCGATAACTTTATCTGGAAACTGACGAATACGAAAAAGATAATAAATATCATCTCGGAAATATTGTCAACACCTGAGGTCGGTTAAGCTTTCATGTTCTCTCATGCAGCGTGTGCTTGCCACTGGTTTTTTTTTAATCTAGTAGAGGGGCGCCTGGGTGGCTCAGTCGGTTGGGCGGCCGACTTCAGCTCAGGTCATAATCTCGCGGTCCGTGAGTTTGAGCCCCACGTCAGGCTCTGTGCTGACAGCTCGGAGCCTGGAGCCTGTTTCGGATTCTGTGTCTCCCTCTCTCTCTGACCCTCCCCCATTCACGCTCTGTCTCTCTCTGTCTCAAAAATAAATAAACGTTAAAAAAAAATTTTTTTTAAACTCTAGTAGAGGTCAGGCTATATGTACAGAATTTTATTCCTTTTCACTTAATCTCATGAGTAGTTTTCCCCTTCATTAAAAATTTGATATCGTTCAATTGTATAGTACACGTACTTTTTTTTTTTTGTAGTTTCAAGTTTTTATTTAAATTCCAGTTAGTTAACATATAGTATAATATTAGTTTCAGGAGTAGAATTTAGAGAGTCATTGCTTACATATAACACCCAGTGCTCATTACAGCCAGTGCCTATTTTATTTTATATTTATTAAATTTAATTTTGAGGGAGTGAGGCGGGAAGAGGCAGAGAGAGGGAGAGACAGAATCCCAAGCAGGCTCTGTACTGTAAGCGGCAGAGCCCGGCGTGGGGCTGGAACCCACAAACTGTGAGATCATGACCTGAGCTGAAACCAAGAGTTGAACGCTTAACCGTCTGAGCCACCTCTGACTTCCTCTGACTTAGTTCGCTCAGCATAATACAATCTAACTCCGTCCACATTGGTGGAAGTGGCAAGATTTCGTCTTTTGAATGGCCGAGTAATATTCCATTATATATATCTATCACATTTGCTTTATGCATTCATCCGTCGATGGACATTGGGACTCTTTCCATGCTTTGGCTATTGTTGATAGTGCTGCTATAAACATGGGGGTGCCTGTGCCCTCTCAAATCTGTATTTTTGTACTCTTTGGGTAAATACCTAGTAGTGCAATTGCTGGATTATAGGATAATTCTATTTTTACCTTTTTGAGGGACCTCCATACTGTTTTCCACAGTGGCTGCACCAGTTGGCGTGTTAAGAGGTTCCCCTTTTCTCCACCTCCTCCTGTACACATACTCTCTGTACAAAATACTGAGAATTCATTCCAGGGCTTTAGCGTCCCCAGGAGGGATGGTGGCAGGGCACAGGGCATGGTGCCCAGGCAGCCCCAGGTCCGCTGTGCATGGGCTGGGCAGGCAGTGCCCTCAGCCTAATAACAATAGCTGTCACCTGCCATAGGCCAGGTGCTGTTCTAAGGGCTTTGCATATGTTAACTAACTTAATCCTCGTAACAACTCTAGGGGGAATTTTCTTATTAGCCCCATTTTACCAATGAGGAGACAAAGATCCAAGAGCTTATATCATTCACCCAAGTGAACCTTAAATCCAGATAAAAATCCAGTTAAAACGGGAGGCCAGCGGTGTGGCTCTGGAGCCCAGCATCCTGCTGCGCAGACCCTCGCAGGTTATCTGCTGTGGGGAAGGAGGGGGCGAGGCTTCATTATTGCAGCTCCCCCCTAGACCACATCGGCCCGCCAGCACACTGTAGTAGGGTCCTCTTCCGGAAAAGCAGCGTTGCTGGTGGTGTTTCCAAGGGTGCTTCCTGATCTTTGCTTCCTGGAAGACTGACTGTGTCTTCACCAATGTCTCGCGCCCCGGCACCGAGCCAAATGGATGCTGGAGTTGGCAATTCCACAGGCCTCCTATTTAGGCTTCTGCAAACCTGTCTCCTCCTCGAGGGGCATCTGGGACTGCCTTGTGCTCAGACACCTCCCCCCCCCCCAACGCCTCTTGGAAAGCCCAGCGGCGTGAACTTAGTCTCTAATTGTGCAACTATCTGATGGGCTTCTGTTCCCGAGGCTTCTGCTGCTCTTACCCTTACATTTCCCTTTGCATTGGAAACCGAGAGCAGCTCGCTAAGGGGCTGGTGTGGGAATCTGCTCCAGGGACAGAGGACAGACATCTGCCGGTGAGTGTCCTGTGGGCTCAGCCACCAGCAGAAAGTGAGTGGTGAGCGCAGGCTAACGTTCACCGTCTTGCCTCTGCCCTCAGGATGTGGGGCAACAGAATCGGTGACGAAGGAGCAAAGGCCTTTGCAGAGGCTCTGAGGAACCACCCCAGCCTGACCAACCTGAGGTAAGCGCTGCCTTCCAAGACCCGCTGTCCCCAGGGTCCAACCTGGTCACTCGGTTGTACCTCGTGGTTGCCAGGGAGGAGCCGAAGGGATGCGGGTGGTTGGCTTTCCTAAGAGAGAAGGTATTTGCGTGTGCGTGTGTGGGATTTTTTAAAGAACATCTTTATTGACACGTAAGAGGCATTACTGTTTGTCGTTCAGCTTGGTGACTTGACGAATGTACACACCAGGGTAACCACCACCCGGATTAAGACCTAGGCCATTGGGGCGCCTGGGTGGCGCAGTCGGTTAAGCGTCCGACTTCAGCCAGGTCACGATCTCGCGGTCCGGGAGTTCGAGCCCCGCGTCAGGCTCTGGGCTGATGGCTCAGAGCCTGGAGCCTGTTTCCGATTCTGTGTCTCCCTCTCTCTCTGCCCCTCCCCCGTTCATGCTCTGTCCCCAAAATAAATAAACGTTGAAAAAAAAAATTAAAAAAAAAAAAAAAAAAAAAAAAAACCTAGGCCATTGCCACGGCGGGGAAGAGACCTCTCAGCAGTCTGCCCAGGTCCCTTGGGAGTTGGAAGTGGGGTGGAATTCTTAAGTCCAGACAAAACTGGGTGGAAGGGATGCCATCCGTTCCGCATTCACAGGACGGTGCTGAGACAGAGGGGGACCCTTCATCTCGGTAAAGACCTCCTCCTTCCTGGCCTTCCTGGAGGCCTCGGGCCAAACCTCGGAGCCTTGGGCATCTCCGTGTTGCTCGGATCCTTCCTAACACTGAAAGAGAGTTCAACATAGTGGGGGCAGTAGCAGACTTTCTTCTTTATGAGAACAGAGGAAACTTCTCCGGGTCTCATCGATGGGCACCTGGAGAACGTCAGCCACCTGAAGCAGAGGCCTCCCAGGCCCCCCTGCCCCGTGTGCCTGTGACCAGGTCTCACTGGTGTTCCATGTCCTGTCTGGACTCTCCTTGACACGTCTGTGCCTGTCCTGATGCTCGGGGAGTATGCTCTGGAACAACAGCAGGCAAGGCTGAGCACTTCTGCTTCCTGCCTCAAGTCAGGAGCCACCTCCCAGCAGCATCTTCCGGGTGTTTCGGTCACTGAAGCCAAAGCCAAGTGTAGACGTGTCTCTGATAATTGACCCCAAGTGTTTTCCTTCCTAGTCTTGCATTCAACGGCATCTCTACGGAGGGTGGAAAGAGCCTCGCCCAGGCCCTGCAGTGGAACACCTCTCTGAGAATATTCTGGTAATGAGCAAAGCCATTTTGAGAGGCTGGGTCTCAGGGACTCTTCCAGAGACTGCACAGCCTGGAATCCTAACTGAAAAGCCGCCTTTTAATTGAAAAGGCTCTAGGCCTTTCCTCAGGGTTGGGTTGATAGTTTTAATTTCTTCCTAGAATAGAAAGCAGCCATTCCTAGAAGCACAGACAGGTGTACAGAAGGGGGACGGGGACCCCAGGAGCATGGGTTCCACCTTAGCCGCCTTTGCCAGCCTCAGCCTCAGCCTCAGGAAAACCCGAAGGCTGGCCATTCTGTCAGGATGACGCTTAGGAGACCCTCAGATACGCCTTGCAGAGTCCAACCTTCATGCACTTGGCTCAAACTTTTCTCCCTACCTCCTCTTAAACTGCCTTCTTCATGCTGCTTCCTCCTTCCCCAGCAGCCACATCACGATTTGGCCTTCAGGTCCCAGCCCACCTGTCACCTCTCCCCAGAAGCCCATGTTCCTCACCCCTCTTCGTACTCATTTAGTGTATGCTGCCTTCTGACAGTGCTTTTTTTTTTTGGTTTTGGTTTCCCTTTTCTCATTTGCTCTATTTCAATTTTATTTCTTTGTACTTTCTCTACTTGCCTTCCAAGGGAGGGAGCTATCAGCGAAGTTGGTTAAGCACGACAGTGTCATCATCTTGAGAGTTCTGATACTAGACCTGCTGGCCATTAGATGTATTTTCAATGGTTTTCCTCTAAACAAAATCCTTAAAAATGTTTTTAAAAGAAATATCTAAAAAAAAAAAAAAAAAAAAAAAAAAAACCTGTAAGAAACTCGAAAAGTCGGAAGGGAAAGTACTTCCTCCCTTGTGTTTCCCAGATAGAACCTTTCTCTTCTAGCCTCCTAGCACTTGAATGCATGCTTGTATGTATATCGCTTTTCTTACAACATGGAATAGCATTTAGCAAATGACTTTAAAAAACATCTCAACCGTGTAGTGTCTGCATTTTACATGTCCTCTTATGTCAGGATTTCTCCGTCTCGACACTATTGACATTTTGGTCCAAATCATCTTTCTTGTAAGAGGCTGTCCTGTTCAGTATAGGATGTTTCACAGGATCCCAGGCATCTACCCATTAGCAGTACGTCCTCCCCCCCCCCGACAATTGTGATGATCAAAAATGTCTCCAGATGTTGACAAATGTCCCCTGGAGGGGAAAGCACCCAGCTGAGAACCACTACTCTACACAGATAGTAAGAATGCCAATACCCAGCATTTCTCGAGGGCTGATGGTACAGCATGCATTATTCTCTGCCTTTTATACGTGTTGACTCACAGCCACCCCATAATGTCTGTACCATGACTGTTCACCCTTATTTCTCTGGTGAGAAAACTCAGGCCCAGAGAAGTTAAGCCACCCGCCTGAGGTTGTCGTGCCAGTAGGCAACACACGCCCGGCATGTCTGGCTCTGGAGCACTCTTAAATAGTGTCATCTTCTGCCTCATTCTCTCTACCCCTCGTTCCCTCGAAGGGCTGCACAGCGTCCCATTGAATGGGTGTTTGCAGTTTACTTTCCCAGAAGCCTCTGCCGATGCTTACATGTGTTCACATTTCACAGTATAAGCGTGTAACGCGGCGATCAGTACTCCATGTGTAGATCCTTGTGCGTACATCTTTGCACACGGAAGTGTGATCGTTGACTCAAAGTATAACACATTTAAAATTCAGCTAGACGCTACCAAATTGCCCTTTGAGGAACGATTGTTTAATGTTCTATGTCATTCTTTTTCCTTATTTATTCTTTCATCCACTGGCGTGACAGGGTCCAATCCTGTTTACAGCCGGGAGCTTCTAGTCCTGAGTGCTTTATCCAGACCACTGCTGCTTTTAGGAACAACTAAGAGGCTTCCTGAACCTTGACTCACTGAACTTGGGTCCTTCGCAACTGGCCTCAGAGCAAAGCGTTGAGCACATTTTAACGTGCAGTTGGCAGGCTTTTCTAGGTCTTCATATGACAGACTTTTTGGTAACGTGCTGTCAGGGGTGTTCAGGGAGACTTGGGGGAAGTGGGCCTTAGCCCCTAGCCTCTGTGAGAACGGAGGGCGCAGCAAAGATGGGCAGGGAACGTGGGCTCCTCTGTGGCAGCAGGACTAAGGAGTAGGAGCTTGGGGACAGGATTTGCACTAGAAATGAGCCTTATTTATTGTCTATGGGGCTCAGAGGCTGGGGTTGGGGCCTGGCTGTTTGCTCAGTTCAGCAAGCGATTAGCAGCATGAGCTGGAGAGATCTGGGCTGGGATCCCACTTCTGAGAACTCATTTAAAAATGTGTGCCAGGTAGGGCTCTCCTGAGTAAACACTTGCTTTCTTTTCTAGGCTCACCAAAAATGAACTCGATGATGAAGTGGCAGAGAGCTTGGCAGAGATGCTGAAAGTCAACCAGACGTTGAAACATTTATGGTAACTCAGAGAACCACAGAATTTCAGGCTGTGCTACTTTTATTTATTATTTACTTTTCAAGTTTTTTTTTTAATTTTTACTCTAGTTAGCATACAGTGCAGTATTGGTTTCAGGAGTAGAATTCAGTGATTCATCACATACAACACCCAATGCTCATTGCAACAAATGCCCTCCTTAATGCCCATCACCCACGTGGCCCATCTCCCACCCGCCTCCCTCCATCAACCCTCAGTTTGTTCTCTATGCTGAAGAGTCTCTTCTGTTTTACTTACCTCTTTCTTTTCCCCCCTCCCATATGTTCATCTGTTTTGTTTCCTTTTTTTTTTCTTTTTGAGTCCTTTCCTTCCTTCCTTCCTTCCTTCCTTCCTTCCTTCCTTCCTTCCTTC